AATGTGACTTCACAATGGGGGCATGTGACTTCACAATGGTGGCATGTGACTTCACAATGGGGGCATGTGACTAAACAATGGGGGCATGTGACTTGACAATGGTGGGCATGTGACTTCACAATGGGGGCATGTGACTTCACAATGGGGGCATGTGACTTCACAATGGAGGCATGTGACTTGACAATGGGAGGCATGTGACTTCACAATGGGGGCATGTGACTAAACACTGGGGGCATGTGATTTGACAATGGGGGCATGTGACTTCACAATGGGGCATGTGACTAAACAATGGGGGCATGTGACTTGACAATGTGGGGCATGTGACGTCACCATGGCGCATGTGACTTCACAATGGGAGCATGTGACTTCACAATGGGGACGTGTTAGGTATATTTAATAAGTACTCAGCAATGAAAGCCACTTTATTTTACTTTTGTTTTAAAAAGAATGCTTATAAGAGTTTTGTTAGACGTTCTCATTCTGTATTATTGTAACCCCCACAGCCAAGTCTTCCGAAAATGTTCCAGGTCATTATGAGAAAATCCCTAACACCGGAAACGCCTCTGGAAACCTATCAAACTGACAATTTCTCATCCGGGCGATCTGGTTACGAAACCCAAAGCCAGGTATGCTCAAAATTACTCGGACCCTGTGTAAAAAAAAACAACAACAAAAAAAAAACAAAAAAAAAAAAACAACAACTGCCCCCAAATAAACCCAAAAAATAATTAATTTAAAAAAAAAAAACAACAACAAAAAAAAAACAAAAAAAAAAAACAACAACTGCCCCCAGTTAAGCCCTAGTATTATTTATTTTGAAAAAAAAAAATGGGTCACAATCAACATTCTCAATTGGTTGGAGCAGAAGTATGCACAAACTCTTCTCTTTTGAAAACAACAAACAAACCAGAACAACAACGTGAACTGTTTTGAAATCTACAGATACGTCTGCCATTGTGGGCACGTTCCGAGTATAATCTTCTCGCTAATGTACTTCATTTATCAAATTACTTTCTGCTAAAAATAATAGTATGGAACCCTAGCAGGGTTTTTCAATGGTGTTTTAACATTTACACTGAAATGTTTTTTTTTCTAACGGAAACTATGCATATACTATTTTAACACACACAAAATTTTAAAAATTATTTTTTGGTTTCAAGTCTTCGACCTTGAAAAACATGTTGCCCTACGAACAGGATGAGATCTATGTCCACCTGGAACAGGTGTACACAAACTTAAGAGTGTTTCAGGCGAGCGCCAGGTCAATCAAAGCTGTCCTGGGGCCTGCGAAAGTTCACCCGAGCACTTATTACAACGTGGATGAAATCGACCCAAGGAAGAGAGAAAATGACGAACTAAGGAAAAAGGTGAATCCATGTATATCCATCCATCCATCCATCCATCATCAACGCAGCGGTCACATGTGAAAATACTCCTGTTCCCGCAACAGTTACCTACATATTTATACAACCCCCCCCCCCCATTGAATCTTAATTCACATCCGATGAATCTTTGAACAAATACTTTCCCCCCCATCCATCCCATCTATTCACCCATTATCCATATCCCTCATCCATTATCCCATCTGCATCTGTGAAGACATCAATTCATCCATCAATTCATCCATCAATTCATCCATCAATTCATCCATCAATTCATCCATCAATTCATCCATCAATTCATCCATCAATTCATCCATCAATTCATCCATCAATTCATCCATCAATTCGTTCATGCATACCCACATTAATTACCCGTCCCACGCACCTATCAAGACACCCCATCATACAATCATCCATCCATCCATCCCTACCGCTCACAGCCTCATCCGTCTATCCATCCAGAATGTGACAGTGATATATTCATCCACGAGAACAGACATCCAAATCCATTATCTCCGTAGAACACCAATGTCATTCATTTGTTAATGTCTATCTGTCAATCACTACATGTGTCTACGATGAACGATTGACAGAGTAAGTTTAGACTGTCCACTGACAGATTAGGCCTAGACTATCCATTGGTAGAGTAAGATTGGACTATCCATTGACAGAGTAAGCTGAGACCATCCACTGACAGAGTAGGCTTAGACCATCCACTGACAGAGTAAGCTTAGACCATCCATTGACAGAGTAAGCTTAGACCATCCACTGACAGAGTAAGCTTAGACCATCCACTGACAGAGTAAGCTTAGACCATCCACTGACAGAGTAAGCTTAGACCATCCATTGACAGAGTAAGCTTAGACCATCCACTGACAGAGTAAGCTTAGACCATCCACTGACAGAGTAAGCTGAGACCATCCACTGACAGAGTAAGCTTAGACCATCCATTGACAGAGTAAGCTTAGACCGTCCATTGTACAGATAGCGATGCTGGAGTTGGAACTGAGAGCGACGAAGCCCCCCAGACTCGAAGGACCGACGCCCGCCTCTGTGACGTGTAAACCCCAAAGAGGATCAAATGAAGCTTACTCCATCCTCCCGTCCAAAGACATTGTCATTGGTGAGTTGATCGATAGACAGTGGCGGATTCATCGGGGGTAACGCGGGCTATTTTTTAGCCACTGTTATGTGGAGAAAAAAATAATAAATATGCTATTTACATCACGCGGCTCTACAGAGATTGACACCTATTAATTTTCTGCCGTTTTTGTGTGTTGTGGGCTGAATAACTTCCTTTGAGTCAATATTATCATAGCCAACGTGTTGATGCTACCAGCATCTGCTTATTCCCAACACTTGCTTATAATGGGGGGGGGGGTTCATTGTAAAAATAATATTGCTTTAGAGCAGGGGTGTCAAACTCAATCGCTGGGGGCGGGCCAAAACTCAAATCACATGTAAGGTTGCGGGCCAAAACTCAAAATCCCATGAAAGGTGGCGGGCAAAA